AATTTACCCCCTTGATCATTGAAATGTTCCTGGCCAGAGGACATCCCAAGCATTCACTCGAAAGGGCAAATTTAAAGGAAGATACTCATTCCAGGGAGGGTGAGATGTCTAAAGTAACCGAGCTGCCAGGATTAGGAGTACCAGAGCTATCTAGACAGCTATGGTCAACAACCATCAGAATTCCACAGGTCACAGCAGTCAAGGTTTGCAGAAGTACTGGTAAGCTTAACTTCCTGGCCGACGACATCATCGGTCAAAAAGCACAAAGGTCACCCTGATACCCGCCAAAAAGGTAACTTCCCCAGGTGCACATCCAAGAGGAGGGACTTGAAAACATTTTTAAAAAATAAACAAAAGCAGAACAAATTCTGCGGAAATTTTGCAGGATGGACTGAGAACATCATACTATGATCTCAGCGTTCTAGCTTCTCAGATCCCTGAGTTATGAACTTACGCCAAAAAAATTTTGGCAGGCCTCTACGCGCTTACCACGATTCCCCGGAGGACGGGTTTCACAGCGTTAACACCTATTTAGATGGGGAATATCCAATTAAGTTTTCAGCATTCTAGCTTCTCAGATCCCCGAGTTATGAGCTTACGCCAGAAAAAGATTGGAAGGCCTTTACGCGCTTACCACGCCTTCCCGGGGGATAGGCTTCAGTGCATTAACACCTACTTGGACGGGGAGTTTCAGCGTTCTAGCAGACGCCTTCCCGGAGGACGGGTTTCAGAGCTTCAACACCTACTTGGACGGGGAACATCTCCCAACTCCGAGTTACGAACATAGGCCAAAAAAACTTTGGCAGGCCGCAACGCGCTTACCACGCCTTCAGGGGGGACGGGTTTCAGAGCTTCAAAACCTACCTGGACGGGGAACATCTCCTTAGGATTTCAGCGTTCTAGCTTCTCAGATCCCCAACTTATGAACTTACGTCAGAAAAACTTTGGCAGGCCTTTACGCGGTCACCACGCTTTCGTGGGAGACAGCTTTCAGTGCTTTAGCACCTACTTGGACGGGGAACATCACAGTATGATTCAGCTTTCTAGCTTCTCAGATCCCCGAGTTATAAACATACGCCAAAAAAATTTTGACAGGCCTCTACGCACGTTTTCCCAGGGGCGGGTTTCAGAACGCTAACACTTAAGTAGACGGGGAATATCCCCTTAAGTTTTCAGCGTTCTAGCTTCTCAGATCCCCAAGTTATGAACTTACGCCAGAAAAACATTGGATCTCAAAAATCACCGGCAAACTGATGACCCTTAAGCATGGACCTAGACTTACCTGTCTCTCTCTTTCAGATGACTCTCTTTTTCAGATCCACTGGTTTCGCAAGGCCAAATGTGCCGGTCGGCCTGGCCGGTAAATCTTTTTCCTTACTATCCATTGGTTTAGTTAGTAGCTCCAGCTGCAGCTTATTTCTTTCATGTCGTTCAGAACGATCGGCTATACTGCTCCGGGCACTATCTGTACGCATCCGTCCAGGACCGCTGAAAATATTACAGGGGTTCTGCTTATTCGTCAAAACTCAATTTTTAAAAAAAAAGGAACGTTTCTTAATCTTTCTAGTGGACAGAAAATTCAGTGCTTTTCAGTGCATTAACATCTACCTGAAAGGGGAACATCAAACTATGATTTTAGCGTTCTAGCTTCTCAGATCCCCGAGTTATGAACCGACGCCAAAAAAATTTGGCAGGCCTTTTACGTAAGCGCGTA